AACTGGGAGTGCCCTTGGAACACAGAATGTCAGAACTGGGGTCTTTAAAACATAAAACAAGCCTAGCATTCAAAATTTTGGAAATGGGAGAGCCCTTGGAACACAGAATGTGAGACCTGGGAAAGCCCATAGAATACTGAATGGTAAAGTTGGGCGGTTACCTTAGAATACAGAATGTTAGAGCTGGAAGGGGTCTTAGAACATAAAGTGTTAGAGGTAGAAACAAGCCTCGAACCCAGAATGGTGGAAATGGGAGGGCCCTAAGAACACAGAATAGCAGAATTGGGGGGATTACCTTAGAATATAGAATGTTCGAGCTAGGAGGAGCCTTTGAAAAGAGAATGTCAGAGTTGGTATGTGAAAGAAAACCTTGGAAAATAGAATGTCAAAGCTAGAGGGGGACATAAAATATGAGAGCTGGGCAGAGCCTTGGACAGAACATTAGCTCATAGAATATTAAACATAGAAGGGCCTTTAGGAATCAGCTTGTCTGACCCCCCTTATTTTATCAATGAAGAAATGGCTGACCCATGCAGCTAATTTCTTTCCAAGTCAAGACCTGAATCTATGTCTCCTACCTCTCAGCCCTGGCTGGGCTTTTCCTACTTCTCTCCTATAGACCTTCAGCCAGCAAGTGATAGGGCTTAAAATGCTTTAGGAAAAAGATAGTGATTTTCCTTCCCAAAATTCTGCTGAGAGCTAGCCAGAGGTGCTAGGAGGTATGAAGAGAGCTCCCCCAGCCCTAGGGATGCTGTCCATTCCTCTCCCTATCCCCCCTCCATCCCCACTCGCACCTCCCAGCCCTTCCTTTTTCCTCCTTCATCTGTGGTCTACAGATTGCCAGTAATTTGCAAGTCTCTTACATTTTAAAACTTAATTTGCCAATTCCCCCTGGAGGCATTTTTTATTCCCACAGACTGTCAGCCTGGCCGGGCCACAGGAAGCGGAATCCATAAAGGTTTACATTTATTACAGGCTTTCAATTAGCTAAGTTTGAATAATGTGGCCCTTGATTCACTGATCGATAAACCAGGAGTGCAGCTCTGCTCCTCCCAACCCCCTCTCTGGACCACATCCCCTCCCCCTCCCACACCCCTTCCATTTCCCTAGCCCTTTCCATATTTATTATCACTTAAACAAATCTTTCAAAGGTGCCCTGCACTTGACACAATTTAATATCAGCCAATCCACTGGCCCCTTGCTGAAGTGCACAAATGTTTACTTGATCCTAAGTTGCATGTAAAGGCTCATCTTCTTTGATGCTAAATGGAAGCCTGGAAAATTGCTGATGCGAAGAGAGCACAGTACATTTCCCCAACTACAGTAGGGGACCCGTGCAGTTAGATACAGAATTCATTAAGATGGACCCCAAGTGCCAGGATAACAGTTCTCTGTCCCTGAACAGCAACCATGGTCCACTTCCCTTCTGACCCCTAACTCAGACGTGACCCATGACTGGCTCTGGAATCGAGGACCTGGGTTCAAATCCTAGCCCTGAGGGTTCAGTTCATCAAGTACTTATTACATTCTTACCAGGTGCCAGGCACTCTACTTAGTACCTGTGTGACCTCGGGCCAGAATCTTCCTAGACCTGGCTTTCCTCATCAGTAAAAATGAGGGCATTGGATTAGATGATCTCTAAGGTCCATTCCAACTTTGGGTCTGTGATATGACAAGAAGGATTCCAATAACAAGAAGCTGCTAAATAAACAAGCAAACAAGAAAATGCCTCCACAAAAATAGAACAAATTCTTAGGATTTGGAGACAGCAAGTGACATTTGAGCATATAACCTTAGAGCTAGAAGCCATGTAGGTAGAAGAGCTGCAGAGACCCTAGATGATAGAATGTCAGAGCCGAAAGCTCCCTTCCAGACCTCTCATTGCATGGAGGAAGAAACAGAGGGTCCAAGGGGCCCCAGGTCACACAGGTTACAAACTGCAAAGCTGGACTTTAAAACATAACACGTCCACCGATGTCAAAGCTTTGTCTGCAAGAACTTTGGACAAACGAGAATTCAAGTCCAGGAGAGAAATCCAGCTGGGAAGACACAGAGGCCATGTTGAATAGACAGAAATACCCTCCCTTCTCCCCTCTCCTACAAAGGATGCTTTGCACAAGGCCCTAACCCACCCACCCCTACCACCTAGTAGATTTCTGCTTAAGAAAAAGGAGAGAGAAAAAAAGAGGCTGGGAATGAATAGTAAAGAGAAAGAACATATCATTTGAGAAGACAACAGATTTCCCCAAGCACCCTGCCTGTACTGCCTGTGGACTTCTGATTGTCATTCCTATGTTGACTAATTGAATCATATGCTTACAGTTGTTATCATTATTATTAACACCCATAACAGTAACAGCAGCTCACGCATAGTGTTTTAAGGTTCACAAAGACCTTTCCTTACAGAAGTCCTGCTAGTAATACTAGTATCATTATCCCTATTTTACAGATGGCAAAATTGAGGGGAAACAATCAGCCCACACCACTACATCTAGAACCAAACTCAGTCCCATTCTCAGATCTTCCAACGTGAGCCCCGAGCTCTGGGTCCCCAGTGCAGTTGTTTGAGCAGACTTTGAGGATCTTTGAGACCACCTTCCGTGACTGGCCCAGACCCCAGCCAGGCGCCAGGTTTCCCCCTTTCCCTCCCCTCCTCCCAGGCCTTGTCTTACCTGATGTCTGAGTCACACTGCTCCTGCTGTCACCGTGAGCAATGTGTTGTGACTCCCCAGCCTGACAGTTTTACAACAAACATGTTAAGCTCACAGTTGGCAAAGCTAGTGAAGGAACCCAGGCAGAAAAGCCCCTTGAAGTGAGTGGTGGCCAAAATCCTTCCCCCTCTGGAAAAAAAAATCCCAGCATCCTTTGTCCCACCCCGCAACTCTTCCCCACCAGGAGGCTAACACTCTAGCCCTATCCCCTTGAAGGACCACTTGAGGAGTGATGGGGCACAAATAGAGGAAACAGGATCAAGTCCCTGCTTAGACAATCCCTGGCTATGCACCCCTGGTCAGGTCAAAATCATTCTGCATCTGGAAAATGGAGACTAGTATTTGTACCACGCAGCTTACAAGGTCGTGTGGAGAAAGACTTTTGCATGAATTGCCATTCCTGTTCTCAGGATCATCCCAGGAGACCAGTTTACAGAATGCAGGCTCTTGGGCGAGGATCAGAGATGCACACTGACTCAATGTGCCACTGGCATTTTTCTTCTCCTAAGCAAATTCTCACACTTCCCCTGAAATTGTTCTGCCAGACTGGCACCTCGGGACCCAGCTCTTGGAAGGTGTTGGAAGGAGACAATGGCTCAGCAGCCACGCCTTGGAGGAGAAACAGGCCGCCTTTTCTCCTGAGCAGGGTGGGGGCTGGGGAGACACAGTACACATGGATTCCCCTGGCCCTACCCCAAAAAAGGGAATGCTAGCCTCATCCAACAATTGATGGCAGACATTACAAAGAGTGGGGGAGATTCCCCAAAGCAGTCCAACAATGAACGAGCATTCTCTGGGGCTCCCAACCCCAGTAAGAGAAACCCTGCAAAAGCCAGCCTGCCTCATTCCCCATCTGTGATCTCCCAAGAGTGACCACCTAACTGGTTTTTCCTCTCTCTCTCTCTCTCTCTCTCTCTCTCTCTCTCTATATATATATATATATATACATATATATATCTCCCCCTTTCTCCCTCCCTCTCTCTCTGTCTCTCTCTCTCTGTCTCTCTATCTCTCTCCCCCACACACACACCACCCTTCTTCTCTCCCCCCCACCCAATGGAGCCACAACAGAAACAAGACACAAAAAGAGG